TCTGTGAGGCCTAAAGAGCAAAGCCACAAGCTCTCTTTTTAGATTAGGAAGTTTAGCTCAAAATAACTTTAAGAAGGAGGTGGAGTGGGGTAAAGAGGAGAAAGGGGAAATTGAAGGATGAAGGAAAAAAGCGTTCCTTTAAGTAAAAATATTAAGTTTAAAAAAAGGGACAACCTTATTTTACCACTTATGTACCAGAATGAGGAAGTATTTTCTTTTATTAATCAGAAAACTGCATAGGAGTGTTAAAAATCTAATATAAATAACTATTCCTATTATTCAAAAATATCTCATGCATGCACGTTGATTTTGTAATTGTACTTTCACCATCACATACTATTAAGTCAAAGGGCAGCTTAAGCCTTCTAAAGCAGGACACCTACACACGCACACGCAGCAGAAGCAATGTCCTTTTGAGGACCAGGAAGATTGGGGTGTTTAGTGTTGGGTTTTTAAAAATTTTTTAATTAAACTAGTCAATCCCCAGTTCCTCTCCTCTCCCTTGGTCACACTGGTTTACTAATATTCAAGATACTGGTGAAAGACATACTGAGGGCAAATTTTAAGAAATTTTTAACATAATTTCCCTCTTTTTTAACTGCAAAAATCCATCAATTTTTGGATCATTTGCCTTTGATCCACTTCCTACTTCATTCTCAGTCATCTTTTAATGGGATGAAGAAGGAGAAGGAAACGTTTTACCATCTTAAAAAAAGGCAGCCTATCCAGGGAAGGAGGAGAGTCTCACTGTAACCCGCAACACTTACGATGGAAGTCCAATGAAGTATGCAAAGCAGCATTTTCCTCAGCTTTCACACACATTTTTACTCTCCCCTCAATCAAACTGAAAGGAAAAAAAATTAAGCAAACTACAAGAACCAGAAACAAAGCATGGGGAGCCACAGTTCTGGTTCTAAATGCAAAGCAGGAAGTGCTATGTTCTAATCCAGTAAAAAAAAAAAACGTGTTTTGAAGCCAAATAAGAAGCTCTATTTCAAGAAGCCTCATGAGTAACGACAAAAGAACAACTTTGTTTTCAGTCAGAGATTCTTCACGGGTATTTTCGTTTGCTCGTCTTGCAGATCACCAACCCGCCATTTTAAGCAGTAAAGCAGTTCCTAAAATACCTCCAAAAGGTGATGAAATAACCACATTCAAATTATTCTTCACGCATCCAATTTAGACTTCAATTACACCATCATCCCACACAACAAAACCAGCTCACAGATACAGATGGCGGCTCCCTGCTGCGTTCAGTTTGCTGGTCGGCCAGGGCTACGTCTCATTCTCATACTGCAGCTACTTCCACAGAGGTGGCAGAAGGCACTCCCCTCTTTCAGGCTCCGATTCAGCCACTGCTGAAGCCAGATGGGAGCACTGGAAAGGCTCCATGGTGCAATGAGGCTCCCTTGTGCAGCAAAGCCACAAGCAGGGAGCAGGCAAAGCCATCTGGAAAGGCACCAGAGCTTCGCCAGTCAGAATGATGATCCTTCGTCAGCTGTTGGCTTTTTAAGTTGTCTTCATGTTCCTCAGTGTCACACAAGTAACACAAAAAGATAAGAGATAGGCACGCAGGAGCCCCAATCCTGGGTAGCGGAGAAAGGGTCAGAAAGGGAGGGAAAGACCCCCTTACTCATTGTCAACACTGATCACAGGGAGCAGGACTGAGCTTTCCATCCAATGTTCTGAGGTTGAAGGGCAAATACCTGACACTGCACACTGAGAACTGCTCGTCTCCCAGGCTAAGTAATACAACCGTGCCACTGCTGAACTGTATAATCTGGAGGCAATCCCTCAGATCAGAGGCTATGCAAACAGCCTTGCGTTTATTTTATCCTAGCTTTCAAAAAGAACTTCTTGCATATTGTTACCATGTAAAAGCACATATCTTCCACTTCTATTTACCATAGGACAAACTCAACGTATTTACTTTAAAATTATTCAAGTAGGTAGGCTAAAGAGCTTGGCAATATTTATTTGATGGCACATGCCATTTTCTCAGGCTGCCAAAGACACCAAACCCAAAAACTCCTCCAAGAAAGGTGGTGAGAAGGAAAGACTCCGGCACACATCCCCGTTAGCCAGCAGGAAAACCAAATGGGAGACAGAAATCTGAAGCCCACCTTCAAGTCTTTTACCGCACACAGAAGTTCACACGAAGCACAGCAAAACCTCTACACATCAGCGAGAAAGCAGACCACAGTTCACAAGTGAAAACGTGCACTTTTCAAAACACAGTCTGAAATACCAGCTACCGACAACCAGCAGAGGACTGGTACCTACTCATTTTGGTTTTCAAAGTTCCTCCTGTAGCCTCCTACAGTTTCAAAAAGCTCGTGGCAAGTCAAACACAAACCTAAGAGAATCTTGGTAGTAGAAGGCATCATACAAGTCTTAGTTAATTGCAGGTTGTAAGCAAAAAAGGAACCAATGTTGATGTAGTAACTGCTGAATGCGTAGAAGTGTGATTTAAATAGTAAGAGGGTGAAAACAGATGGAGGAAGCATGGTCTGCTCTTCTGTTTTTCCTCTTTCAATTGGTAGTTGCTTGTACTAGGCCTGCTCTCTCTTCTCTTGTGCTAGTATTCAGGATACATTCCCTTCCATGCCTTCTGAATACCCAGGCTGGCCTCATAACCTGTGATAGACTTGTAGTTGCTTTTTAATACTGAATTCACTTGGACAAGACCCATTTTGTGTCTCTGGAAACTGTACTGATGTAAACCTCACCTTTTTTTCTCACCTATTAGAGTGGTCCTCACCAGCCTGTCTCAACTCCAGTGGCTATCTCCTTAGCGGCTTTACTGGTTCAAGGGTTGTGACAACTGCCATCACCTCACATACAGTTCCTAAGGTCAGACTGCTGGTGGCATTCAGGTCCCTAGTCTGATTTTCAAAAGCACCACCATGAGTTAGGAAACCAAATGTCTTTGAAAACTAGCCCCGTAATAACGCCGGTCTCCAGTTCGTCCCTTGTGAAGAGTTTATCAGAAAGAAAGGTCTGTGATCCCTCATCCTAGAAGAAAAAAAGTTGGGCCCTGCAAAAATGTACTGTTTTTCTTGTCAGGCCTTGTCTGAAAATGGACCAGAGCACATTCACTCTGGAATGTGGAGCTAATTACTGATGATAAGAAATGCATGACAACCTGACTAAAAGAAAGAACAGTTTGGAATCACTCCCAGTACCAGCCTCAGGCAAATGAAAGCGTTTATAGCAGGGAATGTAGGTAGGGTGGCATCAGACAAGTTTCCAATCTTCCCATTTCCTCAAGAAGCAGAGACACCTACAAATACTTGTGATCTGTCGTCAAAAGAACTACCTATGAGGTTAGAGACCCTATTGATAGTCTAGTACAAACTAGAGAGCAATTCCACAAATACACTGACCAGTACCATCAACCAGAGAAAACCATTCATAGGTGGGCAGCTGTAGCCTTGACTGGGTGCAGAGAACAACAAGGTCAGAGACTGGTAAAACATTTGTTTTATTAAAAGCTGGCAGTTGCAACTCTCCTTTGCTAAGTTAGGCAAGTTTCTGTTGTTCGACTGTGTGGGTTTTTTTCTGTTTTCCTATACCCTATGGGGTTTTTTTGGATTAGTGAGCTCTGAAAGCAAAAATAAGCAGCAACCACAAAGCAGTTATCGAGAAAGCAGGCTAGGCAAATAGGGTATCTTTTTGCCATGAGTCTTCCTTCCTTAGAATGACAAACCAGGCTTCAGCCATCCTGTCAGCTTGCATGAGATACAGGAAATGCCTGCCAGAAGACTCAAGGATGCAGCCTGCTGCCCCTGAAAGGCTGTGTTGTGATAAGGCAAAAGAGCCTTAGGCTCATTAGCTCAGATACAGGTATAATTAAGCAGAATTGAAGAGAAGCTTTAGCTCCAGATTTATTTTTAGACTGAAGAGATCTGAATTCTTAAGGATAAGGTACCTCATTAGATCTACAGAGTTTTAAAAATTTTGAAGTTTACTTGTACTCAGAAAAATCAGTCTGTATCAGGAACAGTCTGTATGTCTGACTTCAAACTCCTGCTTTAAGACTAAGAAATTTGATACATACAGTTAGACAAAAATATAAGGATTGATCAAGTAAACTGACCCTGTCGAATAATGGTGTTTATTTCAGTTTCAACAAGCATAAGGTTTCTCTTGTGTTACTAAGGCACAGAACCAAGGGCTCAGTATGTTGCCAGAGGCTAAAAAGAAAAGCCTAAACAAAACCACTGCAATCAGTAATTCAAGTACATAACCCATGGATCCTTTCCGTTCTCCTGTAAGATCCTTTTTTCAAATACAGGTCAAATCAGCAGTACATGACACCCTAGCAACTGCTTTGGAGACCTCAGTGAAAGGAAACAATGGTCCTAGAGCAGATTCTTGTGGAGAAATTTAGCAAAGGTTAAAATTGGGTGATAAAGAAGTTGAACTGAGATTGTTTTCATGTTTGAAATACTGTGGGAAGAGACTTCCTCACACCACTCTCACTGAGTTGTACTTGCTTTCCACATGGTGTTTCCATGGTGGTCTGCATTCTTTCCTTCTTTAATCCTTCTTTCCTTTGAAGGATTATAAAGGAGTGGATCAGGTTTCCCAGTGAGTTCATTTCTTTCCTTAAATCTATGGTATTTCTTGTATAGGTGAACAAGCAATAAAAAGCTCTGCTAAAGAAGTTAGTGTAAAGCGTGCCTTGGGAGGGCTTTGCAATACCTGAAGATACTGAAACACAGTGCAGGCTGAATGGCAGGTGACTAGTTGAGTTCCTCACTTACAGTCCATGACATGACTTTGTCCCCTGCTAATGGTGAAATTCTCACTGTGAGCTGTGGCAGCAGGGAAAGGTACAACCTTCCCAAAGTACACTGATTACTCTAAGCAGCACACACTAGTATGGCATGCTCTATGCTATAATTTAGTAAAATATTGCCATAACACAAATGGAAAAATGTTAGTTTGTTAGTGCCCGCTATAAAACTGAAACTACCCACCCTCACCCCTGACCCCAAACCCTTAGGATGCCTTTCTGGATGATACTGCTTTCTCTCAGTGAAGCGCTAAAATTCCTGTTTTATGTAACTAACTTCAGCTGTCAGTCTGCTTGCTGGCAGATCATCTTCATTTTCCAGTCCTAGCAACTGCCTGAATTGCTCTGATCCACTCTGTACGCTCTGCGGATGAGGCTGCTTGCAAGTAATAGTGGATTTCGTTTGCTGTGATGATTTCGAAGAGGATGTTGTCAGCATCATACTTCTTGGCTACAGAGAAGAAATAAGGAAGTCAGCTGTGAGAGAATGAAGTCTTGTACTTACAATGTTTCCCTCTTTACACACTATAAGGGGATTTCCTTCCTTTCTACATCTGTGCCTGATCAAGCCTTCACAGACTGTCAGATTGGGTCCATGAGGTAGGCCTCGCTTGGAGAAAGGTCCCACAAATTCTACACATCTCACCTTCAAGCGCCTCTGGTTAATTGATCTCCGGTCATGGAAGGACCTGCAATCCTGCAGACAGGTCATATTCCCCAAACCCTCCCATGTTTTGCCAGCTACCAAAGCAAGACGTTAAAGTTCACATCATATCCAGAATCTCTGGTTCTTCTCATATCTGCCAGAACAGCCTATACTTTCTTGCTGGGTATGACAGTCTGCCTTTCCAGTGGAGAGGAGGATTCATGGAATGAGTGTTTTTTGTTCTTGCAGCAACGCTCAGCCATTGCTGTTCCCACAACTTCTAGTTTTGGTAGGGAATAAAATGTGAACAGTAATAATTTGTTGGCATAACCGTTTCTAATGTAAAGCTTCCATCCCAAATTCAACAACTAGAAAGAGCAAACTCATCTTAGTCTAAGGCCAGTTATCCTAACATCAGGATGGTGTCATCCTTTTGACAAGTCTTCTCTAAACAACTGACAAAACACAAGATTCCCTGTTGCTATCCTTACCACACTATCCTTCTCTAGTAATTAAGACAGCAAGAGAGAATGGTTACTAGAAGAATCACTGAAACATTGCACATAGATTGCTTTTGAGTAAAAACCCCTTGTGCTTTCAGGCAGCTTGAAAGAAAGTACTAAAAACTGATTACACAGCTCATTCAATATGGTTCCTTACAGTCTGGCATATCTTCCACTGCTGTCACCACACAGCCTCTCAAGTGAATTGCTCCCAGTGGTTCTTCTCCCTGGTGAGGACATGAAATCAAAATGAAATGCAACACTCCTGAAACTGTTCACGTGTTAATATCTGGCTACGACTCCAGAATGGAAATAAACACATTTGCTGACTTCATATGTCAAATGGAAAACCAGCGGCTCTTCAAACTGTGTGTGACATGGACAGTGGAGGGTGTGGTAGGGGGAAGACTTGCAAATAAATCTCTTTGGGGATTTGGAATTCAGGATCTGCAGAGTATTTAGCATGTCCTGAGCAAAGGTACGAGAAGAATATAAGCCTTGTGCCAATTGTAACTCCTGATGTCACAGTGAAAAGAAAAAGAAAGATTAGACCTTTGTAGCATTCTTACCAAGCAACAAGAGCAGCTATACCCCTACCTACAACCTGGCGTCTTGTGCACTTCAGGATTGCGATAGTCAAAGAATGGGTGAAGATGCATTCTTGTTGGCATAAGTTTCAAAGAAGCAGTCCCTATAAAGCTGACACACCTCAGTTCTTTGGGAGGGGATGCCAGGAGCAGGAGAGGCAAACTGGGAATAGGGAGGTCAGAAACTCCTCAGTGTCGATTCTCCAGTGTCTAGGCTGCCTCTGACAAGGGCGACAGGCATGGCATAAAGAACCTGTAACCCACAATGGCACTGCTCCTGGATGAAATCAAACCTGAGGGCTTTCCGGGGGCAGGTTTTGCTCATGAAAATGCTCCTTGCTTTCTTAGGGTGGGGTTTGGCTAGTTAGAGTTACACAAGAAATGGAACACCATGTCTCAGCCAGACGCAGAAAGTATCTCCATCATAAACTGCAAAATGACTGCATTGTGTTCATTGGCACTTATGACCTAGATCATTTTAATCAAGTGAGAGCACACATTAATTCTAATTAACGACAGATAAGAGGTGAAATCATGGTTCAGTGTTACCTGTTCCCAGGTCTGGGTGGCACTTGCCATCCTGACTTGGCAGCCCCAGAAACCATCCTTCCCTCTGCTTTTCCAGAGGGTAGCCAGGCCAGATGAGCACCAGAGCCCCTCTGTCATGCTTGGTCTTCCCTATCACACGTTCCCAAGCAAATACTCCATGCAGATATTTCTACAAGGCACTGGGCTTTAAAACAATCAGGGAAATAAACCAAACATCTCTTACTCCCGCAGGATCATAGTAGTGAAGATATGCAGGGTCCTCTCTTAAGACAAACTTTCGCACTTTCCAGTTCTTCCTCCGATGTCCCTAGGAAAATTCAAAGTCAGGAACGTCACGAACTGCTTTGCCTGCAGGCGTTTACAGCTTACCCACATGTGAGAGAACAGACAAATACAAAAAGGAAAAAGCTCAATATTTTGGACAGGAAATATTCATTGGAGTAGGACTTGAACCTGGCCTTTCAGCATCCCCCTCTTTTGCACAACGGGACTATCACACTCGTTTCTCTTTCTATTTTTTATGTAAAGCAGAACAGCTTCAACACGGGAGATTCCCCTAAACACATTCCATAGTCTGGTAGTTATGACATTTACGTGAGGCCTGTGAGAACAGGATTTAATGCTTGCCAGAAAACAGTGTCTTGCAGGAAGGTACCTTGAACAACTGGCAAGAATGAGCTGAAGGTCCTTCTCTCCCTGCAAAGACAACTACCATCATGTTCCCATATGGATGTAGATGCCTCATTGCCTGTTTTCAAGACTGAAATGATGGGTGGGGAAAATCTAGATCAGATGAAGTGATACTTCCAAGCAGTGATCCACAACTCATTGAGGGCGACCAAATCCAGTCTAACACTAGTGGAAGACTGTCATGAATCACTTCTTAGCATTTCAAAATATTAGTTTCTCAATTAGCTACACTGTTTGCAAGAAAGCTCATACAAACTAGGCAGACGTGAATGTGCCAGGGTAAATGTTAGCAGAAAGACACATATTTCTTCCACTGTTTTTGCGCAATCTGATTGAGCAAGAGAAATACAAGTAAGCACCACCAAAAACTTCTTAGGCTCCCAAGGAATATTTTAACAGTGGATGTTCAGACTTGATAGTAGGAAACATTTCTTTACAGAGAGGGTGATCAAACACTGGAACAGGCTTCCTAGAGAGGTGGTTGATGCTCCACATCTTTCAATGTTTAAGAGGCATTTGGACAATGCTTTTAATAACATGCTTTAACCTTTTGTCAGCCCTGAATTGCTCAAGCAGTTGGACCAGATGATCATTGTAAGTACCTTCCAACTGAACTATTCTACTCATTGAAGAATTTTCATCTTGCCTTCAGTTCACCAAAACCTGCTTGCAAAAGCCTCAGAAAGTAAGGATCTTACCATGATGTTCACCATATTCATTAAAGTTTTATTGGAAAGAAAGACATACGGTTATCTTTCGACTTACAGACGGGGCAGGATCAAATGTTAGTGACTGAAAAGACTCCTTTGCTCAGGTATGCTGAAAAAGCCTGTGAAAACTGGCAACTGAATCCAGTTGTGTGTCTAGAAGGACACTGGATTGGCAGACGTTTTTTTGCCTGAGTTCAGATCTGCATTGTGCCAATGATTTGTCACATCTCCTGCTTTTTCTCTTTCCTAATTAAAACTAAAAACTATCTATTTTGTAGTAAGAGCAATGAACTTTGCAACACTGGGCAAAAGCCCTGCAGTCATGCTACAGCAAGCGTTCATTGTGCAAAGGCAAGAGGAACAGAGATGAAATCTGTCAAGTGTGTGTGCTGGCTTCAGGCAGGAATAAGCTCTTCCTCTACACAGAGCTGGTCAGCCCAGAGCAGCCAAGAGATTTTGTTTCATTCCACGGTACCTGAGGCTGAGTGGTCAGGCTGGGTTCATGTGCAGTTTGGAAGGTGCAAAAGTGGCACTGGGGGTGGGAAGAGTGTTAAGGCTTTTGGGCTAGCTGATAGGTGGGTTGTTAGCTCCGTTGTTTAGCTCTTGGCATGGTTGTTAGCAGAGAAGCACTCTTTTATTAGTGGTTTGGGGGGCTGGGGAGTTTTTCTCCCTGCTCTTGGGCTTGAGGACTGTTCGCTGCTTTGGGACCTGACCGTGTGTCAGTCTGTGTGTGGTGAGCTACTGTATCATATGTTCTATTTTCTACTGTTTTAATTACTGATTAGTAGTTGTATTGTTAGTATCACTATAATTTTCATTTATATTATTACATAGTTCTTATCTCAACTTTTATGAGCTTTCCTTGGCTGTTTTTTTTCTTTTTCCTCAAACCATTCTCCACTGTGGGAGAAGGGCAAGAGGTGAGTGAGCAACAGAGTGGTACTTAATTGCCAGATAAGGCTAAACCACAACAGTGTGGAGGTGGCATAGGCTAGTTTCTCTCTTCTCTAAAAAGCTCTTAGATGTAAAAGAGTAATCTTGTATCCATGCAGCATCATCCCAGTGACAGGATGGAACATAGGCAATACTGACCTGTTTCAGCAAACATCCTTGTTTGACTACCATGCCTCTGAATTCTTCTTTCAGGACCACATCATCATCGCTAGAATTTCCCTCGCAGAAAAACCCACTGTCTGGCTGCATAAGCACAAGAGAAAATTCAAAAGTTACACAGTTGCTGCATGTTTACGTACACATACAAATCTGGCTTTTCTTTGGCTTCCCTCCACCCCAGTTTTTGCCACACCCCCAAAGAAAAAAATCAGCCCTTTTACTGGAAAAATCCCCCAGTGAAGTTGAGGAGCTTTCCAGGTCACCATGGAAGCCTTTCAGTATGAAGGAGAGCTACACCAATGGGTCTCAGGGCATCTGAAGAGAGCTGGACCTTCTGTGTATATGTCAGAACCTTCATTCTCCATGATTCTCAGTGTCATATTTCCTTCATGTCAGACAGGCTGCCTCAATCCCATGATGCCACAGGTTTTTAAATGCACAGACAGTAGTTCATATGAAGTAATGCCAGCACAGCCAGTAACACTCCAGGCTGGCCATTCCTGCACCCAAAACACCCTTCCTCTTCTTCCATCCATCACAACCACCTAGAAAACTGGGAAGAAGTAATGCTTCATCTACTAGGCTGTCTTCTCCAACAACAAAAAGTGCTCCTAGTTGTTGAAGTTGGCAGTTTCCTATAGCTGTGACACTGCAATGTGTGCGCGGAGCATAGGCTGTCTGAGGATCCATGCATCACATCCATTCCATCCCAGATAAACTGTGATGCTACTTACTGAAACCTTACGCTGTTCACGTGATGGAAATGTAGGTAACCATTCATACGGCTTAGAGTGAACGCCTGTGCTGCCTACTTGTACAACAGCAGGTCAGACACTGGCCTCCTCACACCGCATCGGTGTTGAATCCAACCAGAAAGAAGCTGAAAGCAAGCAGAGTGCACAAGGGCTGCTAGAAGTGTCTCTGGTAGCCAGAAACTGTGGTAGCCACCAGGCTGCCTTCACCAGCAGTGTCCCTGCTTCCATTGTTGCCCAGGTCAAGTATCCCTACCAGGGGCACTTTCTAGGAAAGCAAATGAAGTAACGGGAGATTCCCTTTGCTGAAGTCGAGTGATTCTGTGTGGTGAATGTAAACAGAATTGTAGTATTTAAGCATTTTACTTGGCAGAAGGTATACTTTTTTGTTAGCATAAGTTCATAAGCCAAACATCTTTAAAACAGTATTTGACTGTGATTGTGATATTGCAAGTTCCTCAAATCAATCTACAGAATATGAAGGATTAAACTGAAAATGTTGGGTAACCTACCCCAGAGAGGTGTTCTTGGCAGATACTAAAAACTTCTGCTTCTCTGCTTACAGGCAAGCTGTGGGCACATGTGCACACACGCCGAGTCAGATCTGGTGGCACTGCACAAAAATGGGTTTGTAGCTTGTGCCACTCTGAGAAGCCCCATGATAATGAATTACCCTCTTCCCTTCCACTGAAATCATCAGGGGAACTGATGGCTAAATTCTGGTTGCTGGTGAAATTACCAGGAGGAACAAAGCCCAGGAACATAGCTTGATCTCAGCGCTCAGTTCACTTAGAAGGGTGCCCAAAAAAAAAACCAAATGTCCTGCTTACAAATATTAAAGCAAGCCAGTTCATTCCGTGTATCATGTAGAGAAAGACAATTAAGATGGATCTCTCCCTTTCTGTACAATCTTTCCTCCAGCACTTAAGACACCCAGCAAGAAGCATGAGAAAAGCAAAGCATCAGCAAGTCTGGGACAATAAAAAAACAGAATACAACACTCACAAAGTAGTAGTAGGCATCGCTGAGATCTAAGAAGGGGGTGTCTGACAGTCCCTCAGCAGCAGCCTTGGATGTATCCCCTGCAGGCTGTAGGTACCCTTCACTCAAGAGGGAAGAGGCAAGCATGAGACCTTCTCTGCGATTTCGGATGGAGTTGCTAGACACCAGCCAATCAATTACAGAGGTTCCTGGTTACAAAAAAAACCAAACAATATCAGCCACAAACTTAGACAGACATGAGAAAGCCTAAAAATACACAGGCAACAAGCCCTACTCCATCTATTCATCAGTCTCCTGAGAGATATTCTTAAGGACAATGCAGAGAGCTAATCTGGAAGGGTGCCCGGGTCATCCAGTGAGGTACGGGTCATCCAACTGATGGCAGGGACCAGCACAACTCTAGAACCCTGTACCTGAGGGAGAAGAGAGCTGGAAGGGGATGCATGGCTGAACTGGCAAGCCCCAGGAACAGGGACTGGGAAAGTACAAAGGACAGCCAAGCCTGAAGAAGGCAGTCTTCAAGGCTGCTATGTTACTGACACAGTGCTGTCAAAACAGGGTGACAACTTTCGACTCTAGCGCCCACAGATTTGACTTGGAGCAGGACAGGAATTACGTGACACATCCTGTTGATGAAAATTTCAGAAAGGAATAGCTCTTCTGGCATTAAGTGTTTCATACAACTTTCTGCAAAGATCTGCTTCAATCTTTCTGGCACTGGTTCAGTGTCAGAAATTTCTTCCTCTTCTCTTCCTTACTGTGGTCATAAATGGACACTTTTTAAGATTTATCTGTGTTAGTCAAGAAAAATCTGCCAGGTTTTCTTCTCAAACTCTGCTGTGCTCTGCAGGGTTTAGAACTGTTTTTTCTATCTTTAGTCTCTCAGCCCTGTGCTCCCTATATTGTATGGGAAAAAGGGACAAGAGCACCTTACCTGTAAAGCAGTGATTGAACACTTTTTTATCTTTTTCCAGCTTCAACTCCTTTATTCCCTTTTCAGGATCTTTCATTGAGAGGTACAAAGCACTGTGCATAAAAAGAACCACAGAAACTGTTAGCAAATAAAAAGCTTTAGCTAGTTCGTACAACATCATTGTCATTCACAGGGTCTTCATGTTTTGCTGACATATTGCTCTTTGCAAAGCTATGGCATGGCTTAGTTTAATCTCCTGAAAAACTCATGATGCAAAGCCTGGAGGTCTTGCTACATCACTGTTACAGCTGCAGGAGCAGAGCGGGGAGTGCACAGGAACTCACTACCCCATATTTTGAGAATGGAACAACTTGTGGTGGCTGTATTTGAACAGAGGAACACCCACTGCTGAGGCACCTTCACAGGGCCCCCCAGCCTTGGTACCAATAGGGGAACTCACTGCTTTGCACTATGTTCCCCCAAAGGTCCTTGGCCGAGCAGAAAATGTGCCTCTGTGACATCTCTGCAAGAGCCTGCGCGCTCTCAGAGGCCTTAAGTAACCTCAGTGAACCCTGGTGTGACTTCCTTCCTCTCACCCTCTTTTCACTTGCTCAGAACGTTAATTCCTTGGAGGTCTGGAATGACAAGAAGGATGAATATTAAATGTCATAGGCTAAGTCCTTCGCCTTGTCAGGGTGATCCTCTGCTGAAGCCTGTGAAGTCAGATTTAGTTGGATCTTGACCCTGTGCAGTTTTACTGTCTTGTAAGAGCACTGCAGGCTCATTTGTATATTTGTATTTACTGCTCAGAGGCAAAAAAAAAGTTGTCCTTAATTTGTTGAAGTACTGACAAACAGATGGCTTCCTGTGTGTGCCCTTTATCTCTTCTTCTCCCTTTGCCAGTTCCACGTTCTCTGGCAGGCACCACTCTCCCCTCACCATCCAAAAACTAGGCTAACACCAGCATTTCTCAGCAGAGCAAAAAAAAGCCTTGAAATATTTTTTGCAATAAATCATATATTGTATAAAAGTGTCTCTCCTGGAAGAGTCACACTTTGGCTGGGGTCTCCTTTTGCACTGCAGTGTGCTCAGAAAATTCCTTCTCAGCAAAATCCTTGGATAAATAAGCATGCTTTGGTAAAAGATGGTGTATTAAATATGATTTTCCCAGTTCTGATCACTAGCTCATTTCTACCACACTGAACACTCAAACTGTTAGTCATGCAGAAAGGACTGAGTGAAACAGAGAGGTAGCATGGACAGACATGCTCATAGCTCTTCCAAACCAAAATTCTGTATCTGGCACACTGCCTGCAGTTGGAAGCAAAGAGGGGAGCAAGAGCTATGAGAACAAACCTCAGGTTGATTGTTTCTGGCAGTCTGATGGACTTCCTTGTGGATTTTCTAGCAAACCTTTGGCCTCCATCTATGCAATGAATTGCTTTCTTGATATCCCGCACCCAGGCATCTCTCTCCTCCAGGTAAGCAGCTTGAAAAAAGTGGTCCTGCTGCTTGGCTGCAGTGAGCTTGAAAACAAACTGAAATGATAAGTGATGTTTGTTTAAAAGTTACTTTGGTGTAGCCAGTTGGGTGTGATAACCTAGTACCATCACAACATACAGCCCACCTGGACTATGGAAAGTGCCTTAAAGCTGCAGTTAAATTAAAAAGACTCTGAAGAAAAAACATGAACAGCAGTGCAGGTAACTGACTCCTTTTGTTATCTGCCTGTGAGCCATCCTGACGTTGTCACTACAGCCATGGTGAGTGGCACTGACACAGCTGCTGATTTTAACTTTTGCTGGGAAGTCCAGCACAGTTGGCAGGCTGAAGTGCCCAGCCCACGCAGGCTTACAGTGGGTGTTGAGAGAGACGTGGTCAGTCTGAAGGAGGAAAAAAGCTGCACACCATGTTGCTCACCTGCTGATTCACCAAGGGGAGAAAAGGTCACAGTCACATTGCACAGTAGCTGAACACATTTGCAGACCTTTAAGGACTTGGTGGGGAGATGATACATCCCGCCTTGTGCTACACCTTACGATCACTACCTGTCTAAACACACCAGGAACAATGGAGAGACTATTTCCCAAAACTGGAAAAAGGTCTTTTAAAGACAGTTCTAAGCCAAAAAAGTAACAGCAACCTGAAATCTCCTCCACCTCCCACTACAGTTAACACTGATCTCGTTTACATCCAGTGATCTTTTGGATGGAAAATCTGGATCTAATTACTCAGGCAAGAGGGTTTCCACTTCCCCTACAACATAGTTCCCCAGAAGTAGAACTGCAATTCGTTCCATCGTTGTACCAGAATAAATACAACAGGTTCTGACTCAGCAGGCATCTAAAACCAACAGGCTAATCGGCAAGCAAACAGCACGGCTTTATGACGGCAAGCAAAGCAGAGACTATCGTCAAAGACCAGAGCACAGTGAATCTGCAGCAGTGAAATCAAACCACCGAGTCTGCTGAAGCCCCTGTTTGTAAGTGGCTTATTTCTGAACATCCCTAATACGCATCTTTCAGGTTGTTGCCAATGGGAAAAACTTGGACATCCTGAAATTGTGCAACAGTCCCGCTGACTTTCATGGAAGACAGATTTCAAACTTACAAAGCAGTGGGTCCTCAAAACTACATTTCAGACAGAAGAGTAACCATTTCTTGTCTGACACTCTTCATATTTCCAGCAACACCTACCTTTCCTATTATGCAGTGAGGAACTATATCCTGAAAATCAACGTATGGTGAATGTGAGAAGCAAACAGATAAATCTCTCCAAATCCCAATATCCAAGAGTCATGCTAACACACCAGATTAACAGAATGGAATGTAAAGTAAAAGTGTTAAAGCAAGCTTTTACTAAAGGAAAAATCACCAAAGTCGAAGAGCTGAGAAGCAATGTACAGTGAAATGCTAAAGAAGAATTTTCATTTCCAGTACATAAAGGAGACCAGGAAAGCTCCTTCTCTTAACTTCAGCTTTTAGAAAGCTGAGTATCCAGGCTTCCTCTGAAATCAGTGAAGAGGTTAAGTCTCCAATCCTAGAAGTGGCCAAGTCTCCCTCTAATGATCTGTTTGGTTTTGAAAAAATTAGACCATTAGACTGAACTCAATGCCAAAATTTTAGATAGTTTAGGTTAGGACAAATAAATCTGACTATGAGCAACCATACTTGATAATGCTTATCCACAGGAAAGCCATGGGGAAAACAGAGAAAGCACAAGTACAGCAGAATTAACATCAAATTAAGCAATGATCGAACTTTAGATCAAGAACAAGAAGATCAATAAAATCTCAAAATATGCAATTACAGCCTGTTCAGAACAGCCTGTATCTTTGTTTAACAAATCCAAGATTGCTTCCTTTTCCCTCAGCACCTGCTTTCTGCAATTGGCTTAGCAAACAAAGCGTGTTGGTGATGCGCCCTGAGGTGTCAAGCTAGGCCCTGAATGATTCCTGCAAGAGAAAAACCTGTATGTTTTGGCACGTAACGAATGAGAAGGCAAGATGGAATGCAGAGGCTTTGGATTCAACAGTACAATAAAGCTGTAAAATTTTAAGATCCAAAAATCGATACATTTTCAAGGAATACATGTAGAAATTTAGGCATTTAGGTATCGGGCAGTAACTACTTGTAAGAACAATCCCAGTGATGGTGCTGCTCATACGAATGAGGACGTTGCAGTTTTGACTGTTTTAACAGTGCAAATTTTAAGAGAACACACGTCTCTGGGGCTGTTGGTCTATGGAGTTGCAGGACAATCTCACCAACTCAGTAAGGAGGATCTGCTCCAACATTTGCTGAAGTTGTTTGGATCATTTCTGCTGACTTCAGCAAACTCTACATAACATCTTACTTATGAAAAGGTGTTTCGGGTGCCCTGACCCCCAGGTCTGAGATCCTTCTATTTTTTTCTGTCTATTCTCCCTCAGAAAAGACCCCAGCAACTAAAATGAAACATAATGTAAACCTTGTTATGTAAACTCATAATGTAAAATGCAGCATAATGTAAAACTCATTGCAGTCAAAGGAATGATCCTCAAAGACTTCATTACCCTTTGGTATAGATGCAATGCATTTTCTCCACACTGGTACACCCTCAAGAAACCCTTTGGGCAGGTGAGGATCTTTGTCACTCTGCTCAGCAGACATCAGACACTTCAGACCTCTCTGCCTATTTCGTAGAACACACATGCGCTGGCGAATTATCTTTTCATTATTCTTAAATGTGTTACTGACATCTCCAAGCAACTGCTACAGGCCAATACTGATGCCCATGCCCTTGTGGGAGTTAAAAACAAACAAACAACAACCCCACCCCACAAAAAAACCTCAACTCTTTGAAAAGGAATGTTTTGTGAGAAAAACTGAATTTCTACCATTATAACGTAGGATCTGTGACAGTCTTGAACATAGTACCCCTCTCCCCACGCATTTTATCTCATGTACGGAGTAAGGAATGCTGTGCTGAGGCTTGTTAACTAGGTAATCACAGACTGGTTTGGGTTGGAAAGGACCGTAAAGACCATCCAGTTCCCACCCCCTGCCATGGGCAGGGACACCTTCCACTAGACCAGGTTGCTCAAAGCCTCATCCAGCCTGGCCTTGAACACTTCCAGGGATAGGGCATGCACAGCTTCTCTGGGCAACCTGTGCCAGTGCCTCACCACCCTCTCTGGGAAGAATTTCTTCCTTACACCCAATCTAAATTTAAATAACGTAGAAACATGGTTTCAAATCAATATAATTAGAACCGAATGTACACAGAGACACTTAATTTCTGTTCCTTTATTTGGTTATTTGATGTTCCTGCCCCCTGCTCTAGTCCCTAGATATAATTATACTTCACCTTTATTATTCATGGTTTGCAAAAGATCTAAAGTCAAGAACTGTAACAAAGAGCTCTCAGCCAGTGCCCCGGCAATGCACAGACTCACAGCCATACTGCCTGAAGCCGACGGTCAGACCCAAAGCTGCAGGGGTTAAACAGTAAGGTTTTCCCAGCCATGCCTAAGGGTGGCTTGGGCAGGAGCTGTTAGCAATAAGGAAGAGTAAATGGGCTTGGCCAGCTGACAGCCTCAAACCCTTCTGAATCAGTTGGGCAATCACCCTTGCCAGCTCAGGGATCAAAAAACCTATGATGGGCATGGAGCAGGAATACATGATCATGAAATTCTCCTTCCAGGCATGGTAACAGTCTCCTTCTTTGGACAACTCCCAGTACCTAGAAAGCTAGGAAGAGCAGGTAGCTTGTGATGATTCTGCTCTGGGTGGGATTTCCAAGGTAATTGCCCTCTAAAACCTTTTGTTCCCCGGAGAAGCAGCCATCTACAACCTCTTTGACTCAGCACAGGATTAACAGCAATCTTTATTCTCTGCCTCATGCTTTTATTGTACTGTCTCAAGAAGAGCTTTTAAGTTACGACCCCATTTTTCTTAATGGATGTAGTTTAAAAAGACTCCATAAGAATTAACTTTTTGTTTTTTAAATATAAATAATGTCTGCACAAAGAAGAATAAAAGAGGAAAGGAAAATGGAAAATGGGAAAAGTGAAAAAGAAGAAAGGAAGAAGGGACCCTGACTCCACCACAACACCTAAAGGCAGGTATAATTCTCCCCTTATTTACATGAGAAAGTGAAGCTTGGTCTCTCATGCATTCTCTCTCACTTCCCATTTTTCTAATCCTCTCAGAGACTTCTATCTTTAGTCAGGTATCCTTGCGGTACATTTCTTCAAACTGTAATTGGATAATCTTCCAGATTCTGGCCCTCTGTCA